GCTGGGATTATAGGCATGTGCCACCATGCCCATCTAATTTTTGTATTTTTTTTTTTTTGTAGACACGGGGTTTCACCATGTTGGCCAGGCTGGTCTTGAACTCCTGATCCACCTGCCTTGGCCTCCCAAAGTGCTGGGATTACAGGTGTGAGCCACCATGTCTAGCCCAGGGCTACATTTTATAGCTAGTCTCCAGCAAGACACTGAAAGATCAAACTAGAACACATATAACACTTGAGAAAGACAAAAGTAAAACATTTTCAGAAGGCAAATGGTTTTATGACTTCAAAGTAGGAAGAATTTTCTTATGTAAGAAAATTAAGTAGGTCTAAAGGAGGGGACTGTTATAACAGATAATTATAATTCTAGATCAATTCAAATTTACTAGGAAATGCTAATAATGTGTGTGGAACAACAGTCTGGCCACTCATGCATGTGTGTTAATATCTTGTAAGTATTTATCTTCTTGGGATTTTATATCTTTTCACTGATTAGTATTAGTGTTGAGCATTTGTTCTATGTAGTGTTTCATCTTCTGGGAAATAATTTTTAGTCATTTTTTCGTGTTTGATTCATTTGTATATTTATTGCTTTATTTTAGCATACTCTGCACACTAATCCTTTTTATTTTATGTTAATTTTTTTTTTGAGATGGAGTTTTGCTCTTGTTGCCCAGGCTGGAGTCCAATGGCGTGATCTCAGCTCATGGCAACTGCCGCCTCCTGGCTTCAAGCAATTCTCCTGCCTCAGCCTCCTGAGTAGCCGGGATTACAGGCGCCCGCCACCATGCCCAGCTAATTTTTGTACTTTTTAGTAGAGACAGGGTTTTAGCATGTTGGTTAGGCTGGTCTCAAACTCCTTGACCTCAGGTGATCCACCCGCCTTGGCCTCCCAAAGTGCTGGGATTACAGGCGTGAGTCACAGTGCCCAGCCAGGTTTATCTTTTTACTCCATTATACAGGGACTCTTATTAATTTTTTGAGATGGATCTCTCTCTGTCACCAGGCTGGAGTGCAGTAGTGTGATCTCAGCTCATGCAACCTCCGCCTCATGGGTTCAAGTGATTCTTCTGCCTCAGCCTCCTGAGTAGCTGGGACTACAGGCGCACACCACCATACCCAGCTAATTTTTGTAGTTTTAGTAGAGACAGGGTTTCACCATGTTGGCCAGGAAGGTCTCGATCTCTTGACCTTGTGATCCGCCTACCTTGGCCTCCCAAAGTGCTGGGATTATAGGTGTGAGCTGCTGTGCTCTGCCAACTCTTCTTAATTTTAATTATGTTGAATTTGTCAGTTCTCTTCTTTGTACTTACTTTCTTACATAAGAAAATTCTTCCTTTGCCCCTGTGGCTTTGCAGGGTTTAGCCCCATAGCTGCTATCATGGGCTAGCATTGAGTGCCTGTGGCTTTTCCAGGTGCAGGGTCCCAACTGTTGGTAGATCTACCATTCTGGGGTCTGGAAGATGGTCCTCTTCTCAAAGTTCCACTAGGTACTACCCCAGCAGGGACTCTGGGGGCTCCAACCCCACGCTTCTCCCCCATACTGCCCTGGTACAGGTTCTCCATGAGGACTCTGCCCCTGCAGCAGGCTTCTGCCTGGACATCCAGGCTTTTCCATACATCCTCTGAAATCTAGGTGGAGGCACCCAAGCCTCAACCTTTGCATTCTGCACACCTGCAGGCTTACCACCACATGGAAGCCGCCAAGGCTTATGGCTTGCACTCTCTGATACAGTGGCCCAAGCTGTATCTGGGGGCCTTTGAGCCAAGGCTGGATCTGGAGCAGCTGGGATTTAGGGTAGTGTTGTCATGAAGCCATGCAGGGCAGTGGGGCCCTGGGTCTGGCTCACAAACCATTCCTCCCTGCTAGGCTTCTGGGCCTGTTATGGGAGGGGCTTCCATGAAGGTCTCTGAAATACCTTAAAGGCTTTTTCCCCAGTGTCTTAGCTGTTAACACTTGGCTCCTTCTTGCTTATGCAAATTTATACAGCCTGCCTGATTCCTTCCCTGAAAATGTGGTTTCTTTTCTACCACATGGCCAGGCTGCAAATTTTCTAAACTTTTTACTCTGCTTCCCCTTTAAATAGAAGTTCCAGTTTTGTGGCATTTCTTTGAGCATAGGCTGTTAGAAGCAGCCAGGTCATATCTTGAATGCTTTGCTGCTTTGAAATTTCTTCCACTAGATACCCTAAGTTATCATTCTTAAGTTCAAAAGTTCCACAGATCCTGACTGGGCACAGTGGCTCACACCTGTAACCTAACACTTTGGGAGGCTGAGGTGGGCGGATCACCTGAGGTCAGAAGTTTGCGACTAGCCTGGCCAACATGGTTAAAACCCTGTCTCTACTAAAAGTTCAAAACTTAGCTAGGCGTGGTGGCACATGGCTGTAATCCCAGCTACCCAGGAGGCTGAGGCAGAAGTGCTGGCACCCAGGAGGCGGAGGCTGCAGTGAGCCAAGATTGTGCCACTGCACTCCAGCCTGGGTGACAGAGTCACCACTCAGTCGCAAAAAAAAAAAAAAAAAAGTTCCACAGATCCCCAGGGCAGAGGCACAGTGCAGCCAAGCTCTTTGCTAAGGAAAAACAAAAATGACCTCTGCTTCAATTCCCCATAAATACTAATAAGTATTGTCCTTTCCATCTGAGACTTCCTCAGCGTGAACTTTATTGTCTATATCACTATCAGTATTTTGGTCACAACCATTCAGCAAGCCTCTAGAATGTCCCAAACTCCCTTATCTTCCTGTTGTCTTCTGAGCCCTCCACACTCTTCCAACCTCTGCCTGTTAAGAAGTTCCAAAGCCAGTTCCACATTTTCAGATATCTTGATAGCAATGCCCCACTTCTCAGTACCAATTTTCTTGTATTACTCCATTCTTGCAGTGTGATAAAGAAACACCTGAGACCGGATGATAATTTATAAAGAAAAGAGGTTGAATTGGCCTATGATTCTGCAGACTGTATAGGAAGCATGGTACAGGAAGGATGGCATCTGATCAGCTTCTGGGGAGGCCTCGGGAAACTGACAATCATGGTGGAAGGCAAAGGGGGAGCAGCACTTCACATGGCCAGAGAAGGAACAAGAGAGAGCAGGGCAAGGTGCCACAGACTTTTAAATGACCCGTTCTCACAAGATCTTACTATCACAAGAACAGTCCCACAGAGATTGTGCTAAACCATTCATGAAGTACCACCATCCGATCACCTCCCACCAGGCCCCACCTCCAATATTGGGAATTAGAATTTGACATGAGATTTGGGTGGAGATTCAAATCCAAACCATGTCCTTTTGCTTTTTTCTGTTTTCTGTTTGCAGGGTAGATTTTTCTCCATCCCTTTACTTCGAGCCTAAGGGTGTCACTGTGTGTGAGATGGGTCTCTTGAAGACAGCATACCATTGGATCTTGCTTCTTTATCCAAGTTGCCACTGTGCCTTTTAATTGGGGCATTTAGGCTGCTTACAGTCAAGGTTAGTATTTATTTATATGTGTAGACTCGATCCTGTCATGTTGTTAGCTGGTTATTATGCAGACTTGTTTGTGTGGTGGTTTTATAGTGTCACTGGTCCGTGAACTTAAGTGTGCTTTTGTGGTAGCTGGTAATGGTCTTTTCTTTCCATATTTAGCACTCCCTTCAGGACTTCTTGTACAGATGTTCTCTTTTATAGTAAACGCACAGGATGGGCTCTGTCCCCCAAATAATGTGTAGTGATGAAACACGTGAAATGTTATCTGCCAGGGTCACTCATTACAGACTCTGTGCCCAGAGTATTTTTTCATGGCTCTGTTTTCTGTTAGTTGTAATAGAATACCTGAAATCTGGCTGGGCATGGTGGCTCATGCCTGTAATCCCAACACTTTGGGAGGCTGAGGCAGGTGGATCGTTTGAGGCCAGGAGTTTGTGAACAGCCCAGCCAACATGGTAGAACCCCATCTCTACTGAAATACAAAAACAAAGCCGGCATGGTGGTGCATGCCTGTAATCCCAGCTCATTGGGAGGCTGAGGCATGAGAATTACTTGAACTGGGAGGTTGAGGCTGCAGTGAGCCAAGATTGCCCCACTGCATTCCAGCCTGTGCAACACAGCAAGACTGTTTCAAAACAAACAAAAAACACCCCTGAATTTGGGTTAATATGTAAAAAAATACCTATTTTGTACAATTCTCAAAGTTTGGAAATCCAAGGGCAAATGGGGTACATCTGGTAAAAGCTTCTTGCTCTTTACTATCTGAGGCAGTGGAGATCACTAGGCAAGGGGGCTGATTGTGCTAACTCTGGTCTGTTTCTCTTCTTACAAGGCCACAAGTCTTATTTGTAGGATAACCCATTAATTCATTACCTCTTCAGTTCATCAGTGGATTAATCCATTCATGAGGCACAGTCCTCATGACCTCTTAAAGGCCCTGCTTTCAGTACTGACACATTGGGGATCAAATTTTGTTATGAGCTTTGGAAGGGGAAATTATTCACACCTAGCAAGGGCTGATTAGGTACACTGCCTCAGCTGAAAATATCAAAATGAGGGAAAATGGGAATTAGGCAAATACCATATTGTTTGCATAAGTAGTTAAGGAACACACAACCCCATGTGTTAGTTATGTTGGTGCAGGTCTTCCTAAATCTAGCCCCTAGATACCATCAAAAGTTCAGCTTTCTAAATAAATATGTATGAATATGCAGTTATGTTTGGGACTCTCTCATGAGAGGTTGTACTGACCCACTATACAGAGACACACTAGAGGTGATCCAGGGAGCATATCTCAGTCTCTGAAATCATCAGTGAGAGGCATGTCCCTGTTGGCTGTTACTTTACTGAATATATTCAGTTCTAGTATCAGAATTGCTGTGATGGAGAAAGTGAGTGTAGACAGAAGAGGCTGACCAAGTCATTGAATAAATGTTTGGAGTCTGTAGCATTGTGTGAACTTCCTCTAAAGTGAGTGTAGATTCCTAGCGCTGTCAGTCTGAACCTTCCTCCTCTGCACATGTGGGATGTTTCAGGACTCAGTGACCTTTGAGGATGTGGCTGTGAACTTCACCCAGGAGGAGTGGGCTTTGCTGGGACCTTCCCAGAAGAATCTCTACAGAGATGTGATGCGGGAAACCTTCAGGAACCTGATGTCTGTAGGTAAGGATGACATCATTTCTTCACTTAGTCAATTACAGAACAAGTGTTTCCTGGTCATCTCCACTGCTCAATGATTTGGAACATGGTAGGCAATACAGTAGACCCTTGAACAAGGTGGGGGCTACAGACTCTGATCGTCCACACAGTCAATCAGATGCCTGTGAATTTAGAGTCCCTAAAAGTTAACTACTAATAGACTACTGTAGACCAGAGCTTTATTGATAACAAAGCCTAATAACACATATTTTATGTTTGGTATATATCTATATACATATACATGGCCAGGTGTGGGGGCTCACACCTGTAATGCCAGTACTTTTGGGAGGCTGAGGCAGGAGGATTGCTTGAGTTCAAGATTTTGAGACCAGCTATAGCATGAAGTAATAATCCTGTCTGTATAAAAAATTAAAAAATTAGCCAGGCATGGTGGCACACCTGTGTTCCTAGCTATTCAGAAGGCTGAGGCAGAAGGTTTGCTTGAATCAGGAAGGTTGAGCTTGTGGTAAACCATGATTGCACCACTACACTTTAGCCTGGGCAAAAGAGTGAGTCCCTGTATGAAAAAATAAAAATAAAAAATAAATGTGTGTGGCTGGGCGCAGTGGCTCACGCCTGTAATCCAGCACTTTGGAAGGCCGAGGCAGGTGAATCACTTGAGGTCAGGAGTTCGAGACGAGCCTGGCCAACATCATGAACCCCATCTCTATTAAAATACAAAATTAGCTGGGTGTGGTGGTAGGCACCTGTAATCCCAGCTACTTGGGAGGCTGAGACATGAGAATCACTTGAACCTGGGAGGGGGAGGTTGCAGTGAGCCAAGATCACACCACTGCACTCCAGCCTAGGTGACAGACTGAGACTTTTTTTTTTTTGAGACAGTGTGTGTGTATATATATGTTTAAGACAGTGTCTCTCAGACATAGACTTGCTAGGTCTCCAGGCGAGTGCCACCATCCCCAGCTACTTTTTGGTACAATTTTTTTGTAGGTGGAGGGTCTGGAACTCTTGGCCTCAAGCTTTCCCCCTCCCTAGCATCCCAAAGTGCAGGGATTACAGGCATGAGCTACCATGCCAAGCCTGTTTGGTATATTATATGTACTGTATTCTTACAATAAAGTAAGTTTTTCTTTGGAAAAGGTTATCAAAAAAATTAGAAGATATATTGACTTTAGTAAGTAAAGTGATTATCAAGATGTTCTTCCTTGTCTTCAATTGAGTAACCTGAGCAAAAGGAGGGCTTGGTCTTGCTCTTAGGGATGGCAAGAGCTGATGAAAACGTGCATGAGTGGACTGTGCAGTTCAAAACCCATGTTGGCCAAGGTTCAACTGAACTTTGGTGAATAAATCAGCCATGGCCACAGTGTCCCATGAACATAGAATCTAATAATTTTTCTGTAATTTTGTAATAACTTATGACTTTTATGGGTCTAAATTTTATTCCTAAAATGTAAAGACCAGATCACTGAAGATCTGTACAAGAATTCCAGAAGAAATATAAGGTAAACTGCACTTACAACCTAGAGCTATGTCCCTTAAGATATTGTTAGAATGGACCAGGTGTGGTGGCTCACGCCTGTAATCCCAGCACTTTGGGAGGCTGAGGCAGGTGGATCACGAGGTCAGGTGATCGAGACCATCCTGGTTAACATGGTGAAACCCTGTCTCTACTAAAAATACAAAAATTAGCTAGGCGTGGTGGCGGGTGCCTGTAGTCCCAGCTGCTCAGGAGGCTGAGGCAGGAGAATGGCTTGAACCCAGAGGCATAGGTTGCAGTGAGCCAAGATCGCGCCACTGTACTCCAGCCTGAGTAACAGAGCGAGACTCTGTCTCAAAAAAGAAAAAAAAAGATATTGTTAGAATGACAAAATAATTTTAAAAGCAAGCAAAGAAAATGAAGCAGTCTTCAAATTCATTCATTTTTAGAAAAATTTTTTCCAGGCTGGGCATGGTGGCTCACGCCTGTCATCCCAGCACTTTGGGAGGTCAAGGGAGGCAGACTGCTTGAGCCCAGGAGTTCAAGACCAGCCTGGGCAACATGGTGAAACCCCATCTGTACAAAAACATAAAAGTTAGCCAGGCATGGTGGCATGTGCCTGAGGTCCCAGCTATTAGTGAGGATGGCTTGAACTCAGGAGGTCAAGGGGGTGATGAATCGTGAACATTCCACTGCACTTCAGCCTGGGTGACAGAGTGAGACCCTGTCTCCAAAAAAAAATTTTTTTCCAAAAAAAAAATACTTCCACAAGACATAAATATCCAGTGTTTTGGCCGGGCGCGGTGGCTCAAGCCTGTAATCCCAGCACTTTGGGAGGCCGAGACGGGCGGATCACGAGGTCGGGAGATCGAGACCATCCTGGTTAACACGGTGAAACTCCGTCTCTACTAAAAAATACAAAAAACTAGCCGGGCGAGGTGGCGGGCGCCTGTAGTCCCAGCTACTCGGGAGGCTGAGGCAGGAGAATGGCGTGAACCCGGGAGGCGGAGCTTGCAGTGAGCTGAGATCCGGCCACTGCACTCCAGCCTGGGTGACAGAGCGAGACTCCGTCTCAAAAAAAAAAAAAAAAAAAAAAAAAAAAAAAAAAAAAAATCCAGTGTTTTCAAAATAGTTGCCTTGGAACCAGTGTTAACATTGATGTTCACAGTCAATTTCTTTTGATGATAAGTGTAATGCAGCCCTCTTGCAGAGTATTCGGTCCATTGATATTTACACCGTTCAGACAGGCCAGAAAACCTACCCTTTCCATCGTAATGTAAAATATGTAAATCAAATACCTACTAATGAACATAAAATCATTTATAAGCCAACCCTTTGTATTGTGCTTCTGATTTCTCACAGCAGTCATATGGTAGAGAGTCTGTGAAGGTAAAGAAGATGGTCAATGTGAAGAAATCTTAAGCCTTATTCCACATGGTATAGTGAAGGCGACCATGTGAAAGCAGTGTGTGTGGAGAAGGCAACATGGATCATTCATCTCTTAATTGCTGCATCAGAGCTGACACTGGACACAAATCATATGAGTATCAGGAACACAGAAGCCAGAAGCCACATAAGCAGTGTGTGAAAACCTTCAGCTTTTGCCACTCCTTTCAAACACGTGAAAAGCCTCACACTGGAAAGAAACTCCATGATTGTAGGAAATGTGGAAAAACCTTCATTTCTGTTCAAACCTTTTTTTTTTTTTTTTTTTTTTTTTGAGACGGAGTCTAGCTCTGTCGCCCAGGCTGGAGTGCAGTGGCGCGATCTCGGCTCACTGCAAGCTCCGCCTCCCAGGTTCACACCATTCTCCTGCCTCAGCCTCCCGAGTAGCTGGGACTACAGGCGCCCGCCACCACGCCCGGTTAATTTTTTGTATTTTTAGTAGAGACAGGGTTTCACCGTGTTGGCCAGGATGGTCTCGATCTCCTGACCTCGTGATTCGCCCGCCTCGGCCTCCCAAAGTGCAGGGATTACAGGTGTGAGCCACCACGCCCGGCCCTGTTGAAACCTTTCGAAGAAACCTGGTAATTCACAGTGAAGAGGAACCTTATAAATGTAAGTTTTGTGGGAAGGCTTTTGATAATCTACATTTATATCTTACCCATGAAAGAACTCACACTGGAGAGAAACCTCATGAATGTAAACGATGTGGTAAATCCGTTGGTTATGCCGCTACCCTTTGAGTGCACGGAAGAACTCACACTGGAGAGAAGCCATATGAATGTAGTAAATGTGGGAAACCCTTCTGTTGTCCCAGTTCCTTTCATAGACATATAAGGTTTCTCTCCAGTGTGAGTCCTTTCAGGTGTAAACAATGTGGGAAAACGTCCAAGTGTTCCAATTACATTCAAATGCATGAAAGAACTCACTGAGAAAAACCCTATGCATGTCAGCAATGTGGGAAAGTGTTATCTCATAAGCTTTCAAAGACACGTGGTAATGCACACTGAAGATGGACCTCATAAATGTGAAATATGTGGGAAAACCTTTTCCTCACCCTATTCATTTAGAAGACATGAAAGGACTCACACTGGAGAGAAACCCTGTGAATGTAAGCAATGTGGGAGAGCCTTCAGTTGTTCCAGTTCCATTTGAAAACATGCAAGAATTCACTCTGGAGAGAAACCCTATATATGTAAACAATGTGGCAAAGCCTTTAGATATCCCAGTTCTGTTCGAAATCGTGAAAAGAATCACACTGGTGAAAAACCCTATGAATGTAAGCCATGTGGGAAAGCCTTTAGTTATTCCGGTTACTTTCGAATACATGAAAGAATTCACACTGGAGAGCAGGTGTATAAATGTAAGGACTATGGAAAAACATTCACTTATCCCAGTGCCTTTCATAAACATAAAAGTACCCACTTCACAAACTTTATGAATGTAAGGAATGGGGGGAAGCATTTGATTGATTTAGTTCCTTTCATAGTCATGAAGGGATTCACACTGGAGAGAAACCCTATGAATGCCGAACATGTGGAAAAGCCTTCGGTAGTTCTAAGTACTTAAAAATACATGGACGAACTCACTGGAGACAAGTCCTATGCATGTAAAGAATGTGGGAATGTATTTTATTGCCTCAGCCCCCTTCAAAGACATAAAAAGGACTCACATCAGAGAAAAGTTGAATGAATGTAAAAAATGTGATAAAGCCTTCCATTCTTCCAGTACTGTTACAAACCATGAAAAAACTCACACTTAAGAAAAACACAGTGATAATCAGAATATGGGAAACCTTTCTCTTCCAGTCTTTCGAAGGCACGTGGTGTGACACACTGGTGACAGACCTTATGACTGTAAGAAGTGTGGAAAAGTATTAGTCCTTGTGTGTTTTAGATTCATGAATCATGAATTTACTCTGGAAGGAAACTGAATGTGGTAAAGCCTTGGGTAGTTTCAGTTTTCTCTTGAATAAAGTCATTTCCTGGTATTCTCAAGGATTGGTTCCAGCATCCCTTGAGAATGTATAATTTTGTTCAAGTGCTTTATATAAAACAGTATATTTACTTATAACCTAGGCACACCCTCCCGTATCCTTTAAATCATCTCTAGATTACTTGTAATACCTAATGTATTGTAAATGCTATGAAAATGTATTGTTTAGGGAAGTATGACAAAAAACATCTGTACATATTCAGTACAGACACAACCACCCTATGGCTACCTACCTAGTACACATCATCTACAATATAACATTTTTAAAAAAAACAGGTATGGATTGGTTTCATTAAATGACTTGAAAGACTGTTAACATTCTCTAAATCCCTGGTTATTTTCTCCTGTTAGCCCACACATGATGATGATTAGGATGCTCTGTGGTGCCTAAAGTTGCACTGTGTCATGGGGCAGTGTCAATAAGCAATGAGATATCAAATTGACTAGAATCATCTGACAGGACATTAGAAGTATCATCTAGGTTGGAGGTACCAAGTTCTGACTGCAGATGTTGACTCTGGTCAATAATACAAATGTTGGATCTACGGAATTTGAAGGTCAAAGATATTTAAGCACTGATGGTCCAACAGATTCTAGTTGGGGACATTCTCAAGGATGTGTTTTACCCAGAGGGATTAACCCCAGTGAAGGAGCTAGATTAGGAGAGTTTCTGGGGTCATGGTTAAGACTAGGTTCTACTTGGAATGGATATCTGACCAGAAATCTTTGAGACAGAGTCTTGCCCTGTCGCCCAGCGTGGAGTGCAGTGACGCGATCTCAGCTCACTACAAGCTCCACCTCCCAGATTCACGCCATTCTCTTGCCTCAGCCTCCTGAGTAGCTGGGACTACAGGCGCCCGCCACCACGCCCAGCTAATTTTTTTTTTTGTATTTTTAGTAGAGACGGAGTTTCACTGTGTTAGCCAGGATGGTCTCGATCTCCTGACCTCGTGATCCACTCACCTCGGCCTCCCAAAGTGCTGAGATTACAGGTGTGAGCCACTGTGCCTGGCCCAGAAATCTTTCTTGTATCATTAGTAGAGTTGCCCACTTCATCACCGAAGCCATCAGGACACAAGAGAAGTCCTTAGGTTCTCTTGCCCACATAGCCCTAGACAACCACATTGGGACTATCTCCCTACTTCACAAGGTTGTGTCTGTGCTAACACTTGCTTCTGCATCTGGGTAAATCTTCTAGTCAGGCTCAATTGGGAACATATAAGATCTTAAAACCAGCCAAATTTCTGAGCCTTCCTGTCTAGACTTCCTGGGTTACATTTCCAATCCTAAGCTTTCCCTTGTTCTCTGGAACAAATATTTTGGTTACAAGCTCCTTATGCCTTTTCCCCAGAAGTATGTAGAAATTATTCCTTCTAAAATGTGATCTTGATAACAGAGTGCAGTGGCACGCTCTTGGCTTACTACAACCTCCACCTCCCAAGTAGCTGGAATTACAGGTGTGCGCCACCATGCCCGGCTAATTTTTTGTCCTTTAGTAGAGATGGGGTTTCACCATGTTGGCCAGGATGGTCTCAATCTCCTGACCTCATGATCCACCCGCCTCAGCCTCCCAAAGTGCTGGCATTATAGCTTGAGCCACCGTGCCCGGCTGATACCAGGGAACTCCCAGAGCAAAGCACTAAATACTTTCATTCCTCTAAGGTCTATGACTCTAATCAGCAGAAAGTAGAGCAGTCATCACTCCTTTTCCTTCAAGATTTAGGAATGGACATAAAAGGGATTTGTAACTACGACAGATTATGTGGTACAACTTCTATATAATGAAGTTGAGTTTTCATTTGCCATGGACCCAACACTGAAGGTCACATAATCTGAGCATGTCCAGATGAACCAAATGTGTAACCATGGGTGGAACCTGTATACTCAGACTGAGGTGTGGAGATTAAAGTAAAAGGAGATACCAGGCTGGGCGCGTTAGCTCACACCTGTAATCCCAGCACTTTGGGAGGCTGAAGTGGGTGGACTGCCTGAGCTCAGGAGTTCAAGACCACTCAGAGCAACATGGTGAAACCCTGTCTCTACAAAAGATACAAAACAACCGGGTGTGGTGGCGCATGCCTGTAGTCCCAGCTACTTGGGAGGCTGAGGCGGGAGAATTGCTTGAGCCCCAGAGGTGAGGGTTGCAGTGAGTGAGATCGTGCCACTGCACTCCAGCTTGGGCTACAGAGTGAGATTCTGTCTCAAAAAAAAAAAAAAAAGATAACACATGGCAGAATCCAGGATCTAATCAGGTTGGGCCCTGGTATCATCCTGGTATCATCCCATGGCAGGATCTAATCGAGTCACATCAACCTGGCATCAGATCACTGCAAGATCCAGTGAGTTCATGTCTTACTACCCTACGCTTATAAAACTTGGCAAAGCCCCCAGTTCAGGGAGATAGATTTGAGCATTTCTTCCTTTCTTCTTGCCAGTCAAACTTGTAAGTAAAGCTTTTCTTTCTTCAAAAGCTGGTGCCATGCAATATATTGGCTTGTGTGTACATCTGGAAGTAAGCCAATTCATTGCTTGCTAACATAACAATCAGCAACTGAAAATGCAACAATTAAAATTATCCAGTCTGGGCCTGGCAGGGTGGCTCACACCTGTAATCCCAGCACTTTGGGAGGCCCCGGGCGGTGGATCACCTGAGGTCGGGAGTTTGAGACCAGCCTGACCAACATGGAGAAACCTGTCTCTACTAAAAATACAAAATTAGCCAGGTGTGGTGGCACATGCCTCTAATCCCAGCTACTCGGGAGGCTGAGGCAGAAGAATTGCTTGAACCCAGGAGGTGGAGGTTGCAGTGAACCGAGATTGCGCCACTGCACTCCAGCCCGGGCAACAAGAGTGAAACTCCATCTCAAAAAAAAAAAAAAATTACCAGTCTGTGGGAAAAAAAAAAGGAAAGAAATTGAGAGAATGTGTTACTAGTATACCTGCCTTGCCAGTCATGTTAAAGTTCTTCAGAGCAAAAGAAACATACAGGTTGGGAAATCAGATGTTTCAAAAACAAAACAAAACTTGTTAGAAAACAATTAAATGAAGGCATAAAAATGACTTTCTTTTCTTCTCCCTCATAGATAAATGTTTGTTCAAATGAATATCAACAATGTATTGGGTGGTTATAGCTTCTAACAGGTCAGATGCTTGACAGGGATGTTATATGGGATTGGAAAGAAGAATTCAGAACACTAACATATTGGTACTACCCCAGAAACCTGTATAGTGTTACTTGAAAACGAAAGTCCATTA